GGGGGGGGGGGGCACAACTGGCTCTGGCTCTAGAGAGACACAGTCAGCTGTCAATCAGACAGCGGGGCAGATCCCAACAATATCATGGAGATTATTCACAGCTTCAGTGTGGCTCCGTGCCGTCAGAATATAGCAGGCAGTAGCCCACTATATGCTGACTTTGGGTCACAGGAGTACATTAGTAAATATACTCCTGTGTCCCAAAAGAAAACTATAAGCAAAATAAAGGTATGGCTTTAGTCTTTTAAATTATATCTAAATCCAAAACTTTCTGTTTTCCATGTCATATACAGAAGGGAATGGTTAAAGCCTCTGTGATTTTTTTTTTTAATGCCATTTGTGTCCCGTTCAAGAGATTTCACTTCCCTTCCTGTAGACACAGCAGGAAGTAAGAGCATATCTTTCCAAAGTGAGGTAACTCTCCTCTAAGACAGTTGTCACCAGAACAGATGTCTCCATTTGAAGCTTTTCCCCCTATCCTACTGGAGGTGCACCTCAATGCTGGTATGGATACTGGGAGTGATGTGTGTGTGAACAGGGGGTAGAAAACAGGTGGGAGACAAATCTGTGTTATAACACACACAAACACAGTCCTGGACTACATAATAAGAAGCAAAGAGAAATGTTACTTCTACAGATGCGGGAGCATTTTCTCAGTAAAGTCTCAATGACAGTAACTTCAGTCTATGATCATCCAGACAGGCAGATTAGTGAGGTGAGGTTGGTTAGAAAAGCTTATTGAGGTTTTGGCTCAGTGGGCTCATGTGTCCAAAACCAGACTGTGAGTAGCAAACCTGTTGACTTCCTGCTTGCATCAAACAATAAGGCTGGGTTCACACCTAGGCGTATCGAATATGCGCGTTTGTCGCGCGTTTTTTCGTGACGCGCGTTTTTAGCGCGGGCTACTTGGCTGTATCCCAATGGAAACACGCGACAAAAACGCCCCAAAGAAGCTCCTGTACTTCTTTGGGTGTAGGGCGTTTTGTAGCGCGTTCATACGGCCTGTAATACGCCCAGGGGTGAACCATACCCATAGGAAATAATGGGATTTCAGTGTTTGAGCATTTTGCAGAGCGTTCAAATGCACTACAAAACGCCCAGGTGAACCAGGCCTTAGTGCCACTCTCTCTAGCAATTATGATCACCATTTTAGGAGAATTGTTACTAAGACTTATGGAGTCTGCAGTGGTATTTTGTGTGTATGAATATGGATTCTCACCCAATACTGGGGTCTTCTCTGGAAGGTACATCAGGATCAGTAAAAATAAAAGTATACAATGAATTAGGATCCATGCCCTCCCAATGAATAGATGGCAAATGTTTCACCTATAAGACACCACAAAAAAACAGTTATTATATTATTATTATTATTATAATACAGGACTTTCTATAGCCAACAGTTTGCACAGTGCTCTACAAAATAAAGGCCCCTTTCACATGTCAGTTTTTCAGGCGGACCGGATCGGATGCTCAATGGTAGTCTATGGGCAGCCAGGTCTAATCGGACGTGCGGCTGTATACACACGGTTGGCCCCGGCCAGGTTCCAGAAAAGCAAACGGAACAGTGTTACGTTTTGACTGGCTTGATTGTGCTGGATTGGGGGCTATGTGATGTAAACGGACACATGGTTGGTGATATAACTCAAGGCAGACTTGTGAATGGCTTTTTAAAGTTATTGTTAGTATTTGAAATGTTATTCTTGGGTGAGCATAAGCCAGTTAAGGGATTGGCAGAAAGGGGGGGGCAGCTGCTGAATGGCTGCTAAGGTGGATACGTCTGACAGCAGCATTTATGATGGACTGAAGGGGGGATAGCCTTTGTAGAGATAGGCCAAAGAGGAGGGAATTGCAATAGTTTAGGTGATAACAAGGGAGGAGATAACAAGGGAGTAAATCAGTAGCTTTGGTGTCATTTGTTAAGAAGGGACGAATTTTGGAAAGTGGTGTAACATCCATGCTGATATGTCAATTGGTAAATTAGTGATAAGTCAGGAGACTGAAGGGGTGAGCTGAGGAGCAGAGAGATAGATTTGGGTGTGGTTAGCATAAATATGGTTTTGGAAGCTGTGGGAGGGTATCAACTGACTCAAGGAAGAGGTGTAGAAAAAGAATAGAAGGGGTCCAAGGAAAGAGCCTTGGGGGACCTGTATATAAAGAGGAAGAGGAGGAGATAGAGTTGTAGGTAACATTGAAGGTGCACTGAGTTTAGTAGGAGTAGGACCATGAAATAGTGGTCAGTTGTATCAAACACAGCAGAAAGATCTACTACTACTACTACTATGGGTTTGCAGTAGTGGTCATCAGTTTTTGCAATTAGTAGGTCATTTGTGAGATTTAGGGAAGCAGATTCTGTGGAGTTTTGTGGTCAAAAGTAGACTGTGAGAGGTAGAGAAGGTTGCTATCAGTTAGGTGGTAACTCAGATGGTTGTGGACTAAGTATTCTAGACGTTTACAGGTAAACAGGAGCAAGGTGATGGGTCCCATGTTGTTCATTCTGGTGGGGGTGGGGTCCAGCAAGGGCTCTTTAAGTAAGGGGGTGGGTAAGATGTCAGTAGAGAGGACAATGTGAGTTAGGGAGTGTGGAATAGAGCAAGTGGGTGACCGCAGTCGTTGTGGAACTAAAGTCCAACTCTGATATACTGTCAACTAAACCACAATTAAAATTCAACTGAAGCCAAAACTTTTTTTTTTTTTTAGTTTTGGATATTGTGGAGAGGGATTAGAATACAATAAAATACAATGCCAAGGTAAACACACTGCCGTTAGGTTTTGGCTGGAGTTATACTTTAAACTGTCCAAACTGGGTTAGGGGGTGTTTTTTTTGGGGGGGGGGGGGGCAATTACTTTTTTTTTCCCCTTCCTGCTGAAATAACAGCCCAACACTGGCTGCCTTATGCGCTATAGGTGGTGAGTTTTGCAATGCCTCAGGGGACCTGTAGCTCCCGAAGCTGGAGTGCCATGGTTGTCTACCCCTGATTTTGAATTGGTATAGCAAACAACTACAACAATAAATGAGAGATTTCCTTTCACTTCTTTCCCTGAAATAAAAATACCTAATAGGTAGACAGACGGCAATAAAATCCTGACAGTTGCTTTAAACCTTACCTACTCTACCCAGAAATACATAAATGTTTTGGCCGGAGTTTACACCTCACAAGCAAATTATACCCTACCCCATCACTATAGGTCATATACCCCCAACCTGTTGGGGATAGGTTGTTTGGTCATTTCCACGATTGAAAGCTGGTTTGGAAGCTCCTGTAAATTGCTGTGGAGAGATTATGCAGATTACAAAAATCTATTGGGCACAATCTTCTCTACCAAACAACAGACATTAGGATCTTTTCACTAAGCTATTATCATTGTTACAATACTGCCTACTCTGAGCTTACCTGCAGGTGTCTGCAGAGATTTATCATGGATATAAGGAGACATTTAACTAACCCTGCTGCTTTCACCCTCATCACCCAATGCTTTGCTGCTTTCACCCTGATCACCCAATGCTTTACTGATTTCACCCTGATCACCCAATGCTTTACTGATTTCACCCTGATCACCCAATGCTTTACTGATTTCACCCTGATCACCCAATGTTTTGCTGCTTTCACCCTGATCACCCAATGCTTTACTGATTTCACCCTGATCACCCAATGTTTTGCTGCTTTCACCCTGATCACCCAATGCTTTGCTGCTTTCACACTGATCACCCAATGCTTTGCTGCTTTCACACTGATCACCAATGCTTTGCTGCTTTTGCCCTGATCACTCAATGCTTTGCTGCTTTCACCCTGATCATCCAATGCTTTGCTGCTTTCACCCTGATCACCCAATGCTTTGCTGCTTTCACCCTGATCACCCAATGCTTTGCTGCTTTCACCCTGATCACCCAATGCTTTGCTGCTTTCGCCCAGATCACACAATGCTTTGGTGCTTTCACCCAGATCACCCAATGCTTTGTTGCTTTCATCCTCATCACCCAATGCTTTGTTGCTTTCACCCTCATCACCCAATGCTTTGGTGCTTTCGCCCTGATCACCCAATGCTTTGCTGCTTTCACCCTGATCACCCAATGCTTTACTGATTTCACCCTGATCACCCAATGTTTTGCTGCTTTCACCCTGATCACCCAATGCTTTACTGATTTCACGCTGATCACCCAATGCTTTACTGATTTCACCCTGATCACCATCCCAATGATTTGCTGATTTCACCCTGATCACCCAATGCATTGCTGCTTTCACCCTGATCACCCAATCATTTGCTGATTTCACCCAATCTTTTGTTGATTTCACCCTGATAACCCAATTATTTGCTACTGCCCCCCTCAGCCCAATCATCCAATTCTTTGTTACTTTCACCACGGTGCCCCAATTCATTGCTTCCTTTACCCTGATTACCCAATCTATTGGTACCTTCATCCCAATCATCTACTCCTTTGCTGCTTTCACCCTGATCACCCAATTATTTACTGCTTTCTCACCAACTATTTAATGCTTTTCCCTGCTTTCCCCTTCATCAGATGAAGATCTCAATTCCACAAGTTTCATAAACAACCAATGGGAGATCTTTTCATTAAATGTGTCCTTTCTGCTATTTTTTCCCTACAGAGATGTTCACATAAACATGAATGTTTAGCCAAGCCAAGCGTCTCTGTTAATGACATCCGATTGTGCCAGCAGAAGTGACCATTGCCATTCTATTCAACCTTAATGGAAATCACATATAATACACAACAGGGTTCTTAGAATGTAAATGATAACGCTACAGAACTCATTATATAAAGTAATGAAGAGTAGTGAAGCCATACCACAGCAGTCAATCATATGAATAAATCTGATTGGTTGCTGCATCTTCCCATGCTTTTTCTTTGTAATACAGTAGATGCTGGTATTTATTTCATGCTTATATAATGTAGCTGTGCATGGCTGCATACCTGAGAAGGTGTGAGGATTTGTCCCAGCTTTTCCACACATACTGATCCAAACGTGGCTGCTAATGGATGTTCTGGCTTTTCATCCACTTGGTGGAGTTCCAGGGATCGATCCCACTCATCTACATTGACCGGCATTGCTGAGATCACAGCTCAGAGCACAGCCGAGCACGATATGAACAAGAAATGACAGCAAGCATCCAGTCCCTCCCCAGCGCCGGCCAATAGGAGGAGACCCGGGAAACTTCCTGATGTCTGATTGGTGATCACTGACAGCAGACGCCCTACTTTGGATGAAGTTTTGGACTAGGTGTGCTATTCACTCTAACGTATCCCCTGTTAGGGGAGAAGAAAACGTAATTTCCTCTGATTCCTGAGAAAACTGAGACATTGCTCAGAGCTCAGATTCAGCTGTTTACAATTAGAACATATTTGTGTTTTTTCATTTTAACTGATGAAACATAAAGAACCCCTTTTGTGGAGATCTAGGAGCAGGGCCAGATTTATACTCGCTGCCCCAGGCCAAGTGTTTTTCCACTTTTGCAGCCACTTTTGATAGCACTTATTTTATATTTGTTACATGTTCTCATTCACATAGCATAAGCTACAAAAATATTTTTAAAATGTTTCTTGCAGTTTAAAATTGCTTTTACTTGGGTTAGAGTTTCTTGTCTTCTTAAAGCCCCCACACTGCAAGGGTTAAGTGTTTGTTTTGGTCCATGGAGGAAAATAAAAATGTTATACTCACCAGATCATCTGAGCATGTTTGCTGTTAGAACGGTCCTTCTAGCCTCTCTCCCCCTCTGCTGCAGCGGTCTAAGGTCCCTGAGTCCTCATGTCCTATACACTGTGTATTGGATGCAAGGATGCCGATGAACATACCATTGCTGCAGTGGAGGAGGAGGCAGGCTGGAGGGAGCGCTGTCACAGCCGCCTCCGAGGACCAGGTGAGTATAACTTTATTATTTTCCTCCCTAGACCAAAACAAGCACTTAAACCCTTGTGGTCGGGGTAGCCACACTGCAAGGATTAACCACTTGGTGTCCGGAGCAATTTCTTCCTATTTGCACACACATGATATAATCAGAATTTTTGGCTAGAAAACAGCTTCAAACGTCCAAACAATGATAGTTTCTGAAAGCAGAGGCCCTGCAGAATAAAAAAATGCTAGTTGCAATTTTTTATGTCGCACAGGATTTGCGCAAATGTTTATCAAACCAGTATTTATAGGATAAAATACACTAAAATGAAATTTAGTGCACAGAAACAGAATATAATACCCAATTATTTGGCACAATATAAACTAGACATGTGCATGGCAAAAACATTTGTTTCGTACGAAACAAATGAAAACCAAAAACATTTTCATTCCATTTGTCAAATGAAACAAATTTTTATGCTGTTTCGGATTTGGAGGCAACGAGCTTTCGAATCCGAAACCGTGCAATAAACTGCAGAATGAGCGGCGGCCATATTGGCCGCTCGAGCGTTCTGTGCATATGCACTGCCATTTTGGAGTGTATCTTGGTATGTGCAAAGATGGCGGCGCCCACATGTTTGAGTGCCGTCATGTTGGCGTATACCAAGATACACTCCAAAATGGCAGCGCACATTCGCAGATGTCACCATAATTTTTCTTTGTAATACAGTAGATATGATGTCACTGTCATGTGACATCATGTGCTCTGCCTCCAAGATGGCGGCGGGCATGCGCAGAATGCACAAGTGGCCAATATGCCTGCCACGCGTTCTGAAAAGGAATTTATGTATGCCCAAATATCGTTTTCATATATTCGGGCATATAATAAATTTGTTATTTTCGGATTTGGGCGAACCACCGAATCAACTGAATTTCGTTGATTTGCAGGTTCGTCCGAATCCGAATGCACATGTCTAATATAAACGATGGAGTCACGTCGAGTAAATAGATACCAAACATTGTCAAGCCTTAAAAACTTCAAATTTCCCATAGGGGACACTTTAAAAGCTTTTAGTGCTCATCAGTTTAGTGCTAACAGTGATTAATGGCTCTACAATTATTGCTCTCACTCTGGCGTTCATGGCGATATGTAACATGTGGAGCACATTTTTCATTTTGGCACGTAGGCACCCCGACGGGTGTTTGCGTGGGGGGCAGGGTACTTTTCAAAAAAACATTTTTGCTTTTTACATTTTTTTTTGGAAGCCTGCTGATCTCTCTCCGATTGTTGCAGGGAGACCCGCTGTGCCGGTCCCAGGACCCACATGGGGGAAAGCGGAGCACGTGGAAGCCCGCGCCGGCAGAGAGGGTGGGGCAACACATTGGTACAAATGATCCAGCTCCTGTATAGACGCCAGATCACTTTGAAGGTGCAGAGAAAGACCTGGAATTGGCCATGTTGCCTGCTGCAACAAAACATCTAAAAAGGTTAAAAAATATATATTTATTTTTCTGTATGTTGTATGAATGGGAACACCTAACAAACATATTGTGGGGTTTTCTCAAATTTGACAGAAAAAGTGGAAATACGCTTTATTTTTCATGCTTATGATGCTCCAGTATGCATATACCATACCTGAGCGGCCTCCGGGGATCATGTAAAGCACTGTAGTAGCCCAAGCCCAAAGATATTGAATTGTTCGACTTGGTACATCTTTTGTTTTGATGCAGAGGGAATCGATTTAGCTGATTTAAAATGAATGATAAGTCTAAACTGAATAGATTGTGCAACAAGATTGTAATATATGGGGCCAATTTAAGGCAGGTGTCCCCTCTGCTTTCAATTCAGGAATCCCTTTATTAGTGTCATAGTTAAGGAATTATCTTCTTTCTACCATTTATGACAATCATAGAAATCACAGAATGATCTTTTGGGAGGCTGGTAAAAAAAAAAAAAAGCCCACTTGGGATCCATTTATAAAACATTCAGGGGTCTATTCACAAAGCTGCCGAGGGCAGCCGAGTGAACGACCGATCAGAAGTGAAGTGAGCCGAACACTGTTCGGCTATTCACTTCAAGTGAACAAGATTCACAGGCTATATGGCCAGAAGAAGCGGATGCGGAGTATCGGAAATTCCTGTGCTCTTCACCTCCATCTAGTGACCATATTGCTGCGAAGGCTTTATAAATAGACCTCATAGCAAGGCATTATAAGTATCAACAAGAGCACTCTGATGTATCTATATAGTGCTCTTCAATCCTGGAAAATGATGGCACACCAAAGTTCTACCATAACAGATGAAAGATTGGAACTGGAGAAGGATTTCCTTGAAAATGTTTCAGCAATGAGGCCAAGTGTTTGATTGTGTTCATTTTCCAAACTAAACAATGCTGGATAATGAGAATAATGAATCACACATGGATGTCTGTTCTGTGTGGAACAGTCTGTAAAAAAATATTGCTATGTAAACAGTAACTTAGATCCAAGAACAGAACAGTTGATGTTTTCACATTTTCAACCCGAATTTGATACTTTGCATTTGTTATTTGTAGCTGAAAGATTGTTACATATGGTATTATTGAAGCCGATTGTATGCTGGATATTCTTTCTCATACTGCCCCTTCCCTGGTGGTTAAATTCCAGAATAAGGAATATTATAGTGCACTGTAGAACATGCCAATAACTCTGACATGAACTGATTTTCATTAGAAGTCCCAGATTTTCAAGGTTTGTCTACTACTTAGCTCCACATAAGACAATTTCAAAATGGAAGGCAACATATGGCCGAGCAGTGACTGCAACCATTGATATGCATTGGATATTCAGACAATCATGGGTGCTGGCTATCCAAATACAACAGCCATCAGAAGAGATTCCTTCATGTTCTGGCCAGAACACACTGCATCGCATTGCAGACGGCTCACTTTTTTGTGGGCCATTGAAGTGAATGGCATGGTAGTCACGCCCTCCGGCCGCAATGCGATCGGCCGCACAGGATCGCGGGGGAAACATTGTGCCTGCGGTCCAGTCCGGTGCAATAAAAATGTTGCAAGCACTATTTTGATCAAAGTGCACTTATCAAACAGATATAAAACAAGGTCAATGGTATATAGATGGTAAAAAGAAAATAAGAAAAGTTCATTGTTTACAAATAGTTTAGGCTAGTCAGGATAAAAAGAATAAAACATTTTGAACAGCTAATAGGAGTTGGAATTGAGTATAAATATTTGTATGGTTTGCTAAATAAAGACCATGGTGTGCTTACTTTACAGAATGCTGGAAATTTGGAAACACCATGCATGACTAAAACAACTTTATTTCATGTTTTTGTTCATAAAAATGGCCCATACTTTCGTCTTCCATAAACTGTGCAGAATCTGCAACACACTCATACATTTGACTTCTGCCACCATTCTGATACATGTTTTGGAAACAGCGGATGACTTTGTGTGAGTATACTAGGGGGGGATTTATCAAAACTGGGGCAGACAAAATCTGGAGCAGATTTGCATGGCAACCAATGAGCTTCTCTGTCTCATTTTCAAATCTCAACAGAGCAAAGTGTAGAGAGATGCTGATTGGTTGCCATAGGCAACTGCTCCAGATTCTCTCTGCTCCATTGATAATGTGTTTTCTGTTCTCAGGATTACAAACGTTCCACTCATTCTCTGTTCTGTGAGGTCTCTCCTCTACCCCCTCCACCTCTTCCCTTTTGTGTTTATCCTTACACGAACCCAACCACTCCCAGTTTGCTGGACATGCTCATATTTGCCTGAAGACTTGGACTACATCCTATGTTGCCAGAATTTGTGCCTAGTCATAGTGTAAATACATGTTTTGTATAGCTATTATTACAGTGATACATGATTCTGAATACAGGGATTATAAAGCACCCCAGGTTACTGGGCTCTCTGGGTGCTTTGCTTTTACATGCTTTAGGATTTGGTTATATTTCAGTTTAATTTTGAGGGCTTGTTCACACCAGATCTGGAGCAGATCTGCAAATGCAGTATAGTGCATTTTTGCAATGTTTTTGCAGAGATTTTGTCATGCTGTTTTTTTTCTTAGCTTAAAATGGGCTTTCAGGTACAGTCCAGTGCATTCCAATGAATTTGCATGCGTTTGTATGCTCGTTTGATGCATTTCCATGCGTTCCAGTGCATTCCCTCCCCCAAGGCTCTGTCCTTGGACCCCTTCTCTTCTCTATCTACACCTCCTCCCTTGGTCAGTTAATAACCTCACATGGCTTCCAATACCATCTCTATGCCAATGACACTCAAATATATATTTCCACAACTCACCCCCTCAGTGTCCTTGCGTGTCACTAATCTACTAACTGACATATCCATCTGGATGTCATAAACCTTCTGAAAACTCAACCTTTAAAAAACTGAGCTCTTGATATTTCCTCCTGCCCCATGCACCTTCCCCCAACTGTTCCCTTGAGATTGATAACACAACTATCCTTCCCTCCCCCATGCCAAGGTCCTAGGTGTCATCCTTGACTCGGACCTCACCTTTCTTCCCCACATCCAATCACTATCCAAATTCTGCCGCCTTCACCTTCGCAACATCTCCAAAACACCCCTTCCTCACCAAAGAAACCGCAAAATTACTCATCCACTCACTTGTTATCTCTTGTCTTGACTACTGCAACTCCCTCCTCATTGGCCTTCCACTACACAGGCTATCCCCCCTTCAGTCTATCATGAATGCAGCTGCTAGACTTATCCACCTAACCAGCCGCTCAGTGTCTGCTGCCCCCCTCTGCCGATCCCTGCACTGGCTTTCACTCGCCCAAAGGATAAAATTCTAATTATTAACAACCACTTACAAAGCCATGCATGACTCTGCCCCCGGATATATCTCAAACCTTGTCTCAAAGTATCACCCTAATAATATTATTAATAATAATAATAATAATTCCAGACCAGAAAAAATTAGACAAGCAGATTGGGATACATTGGGATGCTTTTTTGGTCCGAGAACAAACTGTTCTGGTCTGGACATGGTGTGAACAAGCCCTACAAGGATGCTAAATGCAGTAAATCCACTAGCTACTTTGAACTCTTGGAGACTCCAGAGAAGAGGAGATATTTGCACCTATTTTTTTAGCCCCATTCCCCTATCTTAGCAGATATTCTGACTTTTGGCTGTTGAATCTTTTTATTGTACTTAAAGAAGAAACTCATAGTTAGAGCTGATCTGTGACAAAGAAGCTGTCACAGGTCAGCTCTATTGATTGGGAAATTAGCAGAAACATGCAGCTGATCTGCTCACTTTCCAATCGTCTCCCTGCAGTGACCGGTCACTGTCAGTCACCGCTTCCCCCAGGGATTCCCCCCTCCCCTCTCCAATCCTCCAGTGCTGAGTGGAGGGACAAACAGGTGAGGGGGCGGGCACAGCTGGCTCTTCCAGCTGTCACTCACGCAGCTGGGTGGATCACAACAGTATTGTCCGTTCCGGCTGCGGCGCTCTCAGTATATTGCCGGCAATAGCCCACTATATACTGAGCTTTGGGTCATGGGAGGAGGTTAGTATATGTCCTCCCGTGACCCTAAAGAGAACTATGGGGAAAAACACTTACCCTATAGTTCTCTTTCAAGTGTTTCAGTGTTCAATCAAATATGTATAGTACATATGTTTAATACCTTCCAGTTATAGTTATAATTCCCCATCCAGACCCTTCACCAGTGTCTAAAGGTGCCCATACACTGCACGATTCTCGTACGAGAATCGCTGGAAATCCCGCGATCGTAAGATAATCGTGCAGTGTATGGAAGGCGTGCGACCGTTTCTACTGTATGGTCGCACGTCTTCCGTTGAACAAGCAGGCTGGAAAACCCACCGGGAAACGTACGATTCTCAGCGAGTTAGTGGCCTGCTTGTTCGACAACTGCCGAACGAGCCGGTGTGCGCACGCACACACTGCCCATTTGCAGTCATCGGAAGCCGGCCCTCATTGCAGTCATCGCAAGCCCGCCCCTCATGGGGGCGGGCTTGCGATGATCCCAAGTACGATCTGTCCAAGATGGGCAGAGCGTACGTTTTTTAAATTACTTTACAACCCTCGCAAGACAAAAGTTTCTTGCAAGGGTTGTAAAGTGTATGGCCACCTTAAGTCGGCACCAACACCATCTGCCGTAAGTTATCCATCATTATGGCATGCTCACACTGCAGCTGAACACTTGGTTTCAATTAGCATGACTTAAATCTGGATCAGTGTACTCCAATGTTGCTAGCTGTCTGCATCCTGACCTGTTAGATTTGTGAACTTTGGACCTGTTTCAACTGTTTCAAGCCTGAACTTTTTTTGGTAAAAACTTTTACTTGCTTGGGTTTCTGCCTGCTGCTTGCCTTGACCTTTTGTTTGTTCTTCAGGTACACTTGTCTGCCACTGCCTCTGACCTCCAGCCAGTCCTGACCTTGATTCTGCTTGCTTCTTGCTTCACACTCTGATATCTATCTGCATTGCAATGTGTTCAGTACAACAGCTCTGGAGAAGACCAGACAGTGCAAATGACAAAACATTGGTGAGAGCCTTCTGCTGCTTGTAGACACAAGAGATTCACGCCATCCCAATGCCATCTTGGCAAGCTGCTGGCTCTGCATCTGTTCCCATTCCAACTCATGGAATAAGCCCCCTTCCATACGTTCATGGTCTGTGCAACACCAATGTGGCAGGTACCCAGCATCCATTTTTTTGCCTTGGGAAAAATGCTGCTGTATATGGCCGTTTGCATGTGGAAAGTAATGTGTCTGTATCCCTGGACTACACTGTCAGCGGCAGGATACACATGACCACAGACTATGTGGTTCAGTAAGAATGAGATGGGAAGCTGCATATGCCTTACAGCACACTGGGTCAATATTCTGGCAGCTGGGAAGGATGCAGGAAAACTTATTTTTAATAGTAACTCGCAACCAGAAACAACATTTATCCGGAATCTTCCAATCCCCGTGGAACAGTTTACTGTATGTCTGTAGAAGTTAGTGTTAGGCATTAGGTGGGTTAAGGGTTAGGATAGGTTTAGGTATAGGATCAAGGAGTGAACTTACTTGGTTGATCTTAATACCTTAAAGGCACCAAGGTATGTTAAATGTGCACCTTTAAAAAAAAAAGAAGGATTCCACTAGAATCAGTATGTTGAGGCTCTTAATTGGGAATGGCATTTCAAACAACATCAAGGAAATGATTCAATAAGCTGTTAGTGAAGCAAAAAAGAAAAGTAGTTGCCAAATTTCTCAAGTTAGAAAAATAAAACTTCGGTTGATCCAGGCATGTTTATGCAGAGTTCATAAGTCTTTTTATACAGTGACTGCAAGGTAACACATCTTAAGCTGACATTATAAGATTCTTTGGATGGCAGCTTGGCAGAAATTTCTGGCACCTCTTCAATCATGCTGAATCATCTCATGAGAATAACATGTGAGAGTCAAGCCAGTGAAAGAGCTCCACTATCCATTTCCATGCATAGGTTGCAGGTCTTCAACTCAAGATCTACCATTGGCAATATGTTCCCACACAAATGCATGAATATTTGTTCAACTATAACAATAAATACACCCATATGTGCTTGGGAGGCAGGGAGTGGTGGCCAAAAAATGAGCTGGATTAATTTTAGCTTATGTTTACTTGGCACAATAGGCACACAGTTGTGAGGTACTGATTGACATTAAAAACAGATTAGTGTCCTTAGCAGAAGTGCAAATTCATCGTGATCTGCTAAATTAACATATGGCTGAGGCATATTGCTTTCTACATTATATACGTATATTCTCTTATCTGCTATATATAAACATTAATAGTGATTTAATCTTTTTATTTAATATTTAGCATGTTTAGAAAATCACTGTAAATTATGTACAAATGTATATTTATCTCCAGTCTAACCTACTTATCTCTGATTACTGCCCAGATATATCACCAGTGGTGGAATTGCACTGGACCATCCAGGAATCTGAAATTTGTCTCTGGGAGCAAGGAAGGCCCAGTTTAGGGCTACATACATTTTATTGAACTTATGGATGAACTCATACTTTATTTGAATTTACAGGGCAAAATCAGCATTGGCAGATCATAATATTATTATTGTGATAGGACAGTGCCGTGTCACTATGGTGATTGGTGTGTTTGGCGACCGGGACTCTTGGCTAGAGGGGCTGAGAGGGTCCAGAAAACATATAGTGTTACAGGGAAGGAGCTGGGTTTCCAGTTCTTTCTGGGTTTTTTGGAGTATAACTGGGATCTGGGTCTTTGGAGATTTCTAAGAGTCTTGGGTGGGACGAAATCTCGAGTCCTGGGAGTGAGAGTGGACAGAGAGGAAGAGGCAGTCAGTGGTGCAGGAGTAAATGCAGAGTGTGGGAGACTGTGTGTATGTGACACACGAGACAC